GTAGTGATTGGAAACGGCGTACAGCTGGTAGGTTTTGGGCGTAACCGCCCGCGATTCCGCCCGTGCAATGTAGGGATTCATATCCAGGTTCTCCAGCGGGAAGCGAAGGTAGTTTTGCTTCTTCATGTAAGCGCCCGAGTTGCTGGGGTCAGCATAGAACCTACAAGGGATTAAAGTATTTAGTTAAAATCAAAAAGAGGTTTTGCTTTACTAACCTCTTTAAATGCACCACCAGCACTGGAGGCAGCTTGGATATATCCAGTTTCTTGATGGCATCTCTTTTGGTTTTACAACTTGGACAGTTCCAGCCGTGTATGCGCTCCCCACTAAAGTACATGTCCATGCACTGGTTCAGCTGGCACACATTCGAGTTCGGCGGCAGCTCCAGGCTGAGATTCGAGAAACTCTCGTACGTGGCCGACTCCTTGTGACAGGCCACACATTTGACGGTGCTCTTCATTTGGCCATAGAATAAATGCAGTATCATGCTCTCCTTGGCCTTGGTAAACTCGAGCCAAGCCTTCTCCGACGCACTGATCATCTCGCGCTGACGAGACACATGGAGAGTCTGAAGGTCCGAGTGCAGCCAGTCCATCAGGATGGTGAGGAACTCGTGCGAGTCCTGCTGGTCAACGCCGCGAAAGATTTTCTGGTACTGACCCACAACATACTGCAATGAATGTGTTTCTTAGTAAAATATTGCAGATAGTTTGGCAGTTACCTACCCTCAAATCTCGGCTGGCCACGCACTTGTACTGTCCGTTCCAAAGCTCCTTGATGAGTGCAGCCACCTCCTCGATCACCTGGCCGTTTGTCTTATTGCTCCTGCTTATGTTGTTCTTGTACTTGTCCGAAATGCAGTACTCCGTCAACTGAGGCGTGTTACTTAGGCATTGCAGAATGCTGTTCATGTAGCAGGTGTTGCCCAGATTTTTCAGGCCAGTCAATCCGCGACCCTGAAAAATTGCACAAAGATATGGGTGTTTGTACAGGTTAAAGGTAGTTAGTAATTCCTAGAAGTTACTCGTCGGAGCGGGAAGATGGAGCTATAAATGCTGTAGGTGGGCGGAGCTGTTGGCAGCTGGAGCTTTACGCCCGCCACACAAATCATTCGCGGAATCCTGTCTGCTGCTGGGTTTGCTCAACAGTATGGCGATTGTACGTTTCTTTGGTTTGAACATGCTTTGAGTGCGGACGGCGAGCGACTGAGAGTGGGGACTACCTACAAAGCACGGTCAACGTCTGGGCGGGTGTCTTCGAAACGTGACCCATTGCTATTGATTTCGCTCGTGTGGCGGCTATATTTAGGCGGCCAGTGTGAATCAACCACCCCCAAACCATCACTCACCACATTCTGACCCATGACGGGTGAGAAATCACGGACCCGTTGCGATGTCCTCTCCACGCTCCTCGGCTGCGGTTTCATCGCCCTGTCAAATGTAGGCCTCTCCACCTTGTTGGGGGCTAGTTGCGGATCCTCGTTTAGTTGGAGCAGGGATTCCAGGCTGTCGGAGAGGTCCTGCACATCCTCCAAGTTCCTGCCCGGCGAGGGAGGACTCTCATCCCGGGGTGACTTGTAATGCTTTTTCGTCTCCCGGGCAATTGCCAAAAGGCGTTCCCGCTCCTGGCGCTCCTGCTCGTGTTGCTCGTCCAAGCGCTGACGCTCCCGGATCTTGGATTCGATGTTCCTCGTGGCCTCAACATCCTTTTGTGATAGCTGCTGGGTAACTTTCTGCTGCTCCTGTATGCGACTCAGTTCTTCTCGCAGACGATTATTTTCAACAATCTGCAGGAGGAGAAAAACATTAAATTTTGGAAAATTAAGTGGTCTGTGGATCTTACGTAGTCCTGGGCCTTGCTCTCTAGTTGAAGAATTCTAAAGTGCAGCTCCTGACCTTCGGTGGCATTCAAGCCATCGCCCTCAGCCGCCTGACGCTTCCACATCATGGAGGCCTTTTCCAGCTGCTCATCGTTTTGCTCGGCCCTTTGCAAAAACTCGGCCTGATCACGCATGATCTCGGCTATGGGCTTGGCCTGTGTAGGAGGCCGGGAGGGCCCCTGGTTGTAGGTACGCGTAGCCGCCGGCTTGCTGGCGCGATTTATGTCCGGTCGTGGCTTAAAGTCCTTCGCACTAATGTCCTCCTTCATGGTGATGTCGTGGATTGAGGGATATTCAATGTCATCGATGGTGTCAATGTCGTTGTTGTTCTGCTGCGGGGCCTGGACACTGGGGTTGGTGCAATGGGTGGGGTACATCATGATGAAGTACTCATAACCGCCCTCGACGATCTGAATGGGGGCGCGATACGTCACATCGGGATCCCACTGTCACGAAAATGGATTGGTACTGACTGATCTATGGCTTAAATGTACTAGTACTTACATTCTTAAGGATGTCTAGCAGCGTGGCAATGGCTGTATTCGCCGCCGGTTGGGCGTCCTTGGTGTTCCAATCCATAAGAACCACCGAATCCTTGACGGAGCGCGATGCCCACGAGGCCTTTCCGCTGCTGCTGAGACGAGCCTGCAGTCTGCCAGCCGACATGCTAGATGATACGTAGATCAAAGAGTTAGTAGCCAAACAGTGATTTAAGTGTGTTAAATACTCACCCTAGCGTAATCAGCTCCTCGGGCACATTGAATGCACAGTAGTATGTGAGGTGGGAGTTCTCGTAGTCGGCGCTTGGGCGACAGTCCATAACGAGGACCGATTTCTCCTGCATGCGCCGGTATAGCTCTTGACAGGTGATCAGTCCCAGTCGGGCGTAGTCCGTGGAGGGTGTTGCCGGCGCCTCCACACTGACCCGTCCATTGCTGACCAGTTCTGTGCCAATCTGTTCCACTGGCTGGCGCTGCTGAGCATATCGATGTCGCAGGGAGTTCATAATCACCTCCAGCGTGTCCATGATGCGGCGATTCGATTCGGTGTCGCCCAACATCTGGCGCACAGTCGACTTGTGGCTGGCGTAATCAGACTTTTTGTGAATCGCGGTCAGCATGTTGAAGTACTTCATGTAGGTGATGTAGGCCAGCTCCTCGTCGCCATCCAGTCTGTACTCCTCGGCGGTCATGTACAGTTTGCGGGCGGTGTTTAGCAGGCTGTGAAAAACAACACAGGTAAATGAAAGCAGCCGCATCAGCACTAAGTCGAGGTGTCCACTTACATTTTCATGCCCTTGCTGCGCAAATCCGGAATGATGGACATCTTCTCCAGGTCCTCCAGATTGGAGCTCATGTGCAGCTTCTTCAACTTGGCCATTTCTGGGAGTTCCTTAGGTGGGTGGCGGGAAGGTGTTATGTCGGTTGGAATTCTTCTGGATCTTCTTTTCCTGTTTTCATAGCAGGAATTCCTCAATCTGCGGGCTGGGCTGCAACAACAACAACTGTTATTTTGCCTGAAATGTATCGATAGACTCGGACCACTTTCTGGAACTATCGATTGGTGTTGTGACAGCAGCAAGCTGATTCTAGATCGAATAAAAGTAGCTAGATTTTTCAAGATTCTTCAAAACTAAAAGCCTTTAGTTTCTTTTAAGATTATTTTTATCAAACTACCTGTTCTCTTAACTGTTTATAGTCAAATATTATATTAAGTATTCGAAATAACAAAATACAAATTTCTCTGCTTTAAAAAACAGACAAATATAGCGGGGAAACAAGCTAAAAGCCACAACACTGCCTACTGTGAATTGACCAATTTTGTTCCACAGCACAGCTGATAACATTTGTTGACTGTTTGTTAAACCAGGGTTGGGTTTCCAAATGGGCAGGACTTCGAAGGACAAACGAGACATCTTCTACCGACTGGCCAAGGAGCAGGGATGGCGTGCGCGGAGTGCCTTCAAGCTGCTCCAGGCGGAGGAGACGTTTCACCTGCTAGGAGGTGCTGATTGAACCTCGTGTTTTTGAACCATTACTGAGGTAAAACTCATTCCAGGTCTCACCCGAGCCGTGGACCTATGTGCCGCTCCCGGCAGCTGGTCGCAGGTGCTGGCCAAGCACATGTACGAGCCACTGCCTTCGGATGAGCGGGAAAAGGTGAAAATCATCGCAGTAGACCTGCAGGGAATGGCGCCGATTGAAGGCGTCACACAACTCCGGGCGGACATCAGCAAGGAGTCCACAGCCGAGGCCATCATCGACTTCTTCGGCGGCGAGAAGGCACAGATTGTGGTCAGCGATGGTGCTCCCGATTCCACAGGCATGCACGACTTTGACGCCTACGTCCAGGGCGAGTTGCTCCTCTCCGCCCTGAGCATCTCCACCTTCATCCTGGAGGAGGGAGGTTCGTTTGTGTCCAAGATCTACCGGGCAGACAGGACCAGTCGCCTATACACCCATCTTAAGCGCTTCTTCAAGGACGTGTGTGTGTTTAAGCCCTCCGCTTCGCGAAACTCCAGCATAGAAGCTTTCGTGGTGGCCCGTCAGTTTTGTCTGCCCGAAGGCTATAAGCCCTGCAACCTGATCACCGAATGGCACGAACATCCCGACTCGTGGGTGTGCAGGAAAAAGGAGAACCCGCCCGTTGTTCACGTTCCCTTCGTCGCCTACAAAGGAGAACTAGATTCCGATCGGACCTACGACTTGGTAGGGCTTTTTATGTACATATCTCGTTGCAATAATCTCGAAACTGTGCTGTTTCAGGGCGAGGACTATGTTTACAAAGAACCAGTGCAACAACCTTTGACCGCCGCCTATCAGGATATCCTGAAGAAAACAAGCCAAGTCAACATCAAATATGAAGGCATCCGAGTTATGCATGACGAGGAATTGTTTAAAGAGTGGTATAAAACTGGTGTTTGCTTAAGTTCCTGCGATGATAATGTATATAAGAATACAACAAATTAAAAAAAATTTAACTGTATATGAATACACTGATTATCGGGGAACTTATGAAAAAAAGACTGAGAAGCTTTGAGCCCAGAAACAAGAACGTGAAAATCGGTAATAAAAGCTCGATACAGAATCAGTTGATAAGCTATGGCAAAAAAATAAAGTACAACCTTCTATTTCAGTTATTGTTATTCAATTTAATAACATATTTCTTACAAATCTATTGAAGGCTTCTTATCTTTACACCAATTTGAGGATCTTTTTTTGGCTATTCAACAGTTAACAACTACAAACTAAATAGAAAACCAAATGGTTGTTATTACAGCGTCATTATCTTCTCCAGCTCGTCTTTTTCATTTTTGGCAGCCGCTTTTTTGCGAGCTCTGGCTCGAATCTTTTGTCCGGACTTACAACGGCGACGAAACTCTTCAGTTTGAGCTGCCGTCCACTTCTTATGTGGCTGCCGTCTTCCTGGAGCCCGTCTTTCGGGCTCTGGTCTGGATATCGCCGCCTTTCGTCGTTGGACTGACCGTCCATTGGCCTTTGCAGGGAATGCGCAGGGCAGTAGCTGTAGTTCCTCATGGAGGCGGCCACAGAGTGTGGGCGAGATTGGAAGAAAACTGCTTTGGGTGAGGAAGATTTGATCGCTCGGAGTGGTTTCCGTGAGGAGTTGGTCCAACTTGAAGCTCTGAGCCGTGGCCTCCTTGGTGACATTGCATAGCAGGAATTTATCCTTGTACTTGGGAGAGTAGCGTAGCAGGTATTCCCCAACAGGCACCGTGTCTAGTAGTTTCAGGAACTCATACAAATTAGAAAGAAGTTGCGGCATGCTTGTGTTGTAGTAGTCGTGCAGCTGTTGTTCTAGGGATATCAGCGCCAATTTCTCCTCCAACATGGGCTTAAAGTCTCGCAGCGAAATGCGGGTGCAGTGACCTACATCAGCTTGCAGAAGCTTCAGCTGCAGCCAGGCACTAATCAACTCGTATTTGGACATTATTTCACAGCCGCAGTCGGGCTTATTCTCCAGCTTAATCAAATGGCAACCAAGGGGCTTTTTGCCCTTAGAATCTTTAACCGCTGGTATGGGTAAAGTGCTAAAGATTTGAAAATCTTTGTCTTCATCACCTTCGCTCTTACATCTGAGACTCCAACTGACTAAAGCGGTGTTGGCGCTGGCATCCACAATGTCTGAAGAATGCTGATCAATTTTATGAAGCTTGTAGGCCATGTGAAAATCGGTAGAAGACATTTCACAGATAAGCTTATCAGGGACTTCCTTGACTGCTCCATTTTCGAAATGTAGCCATTTGGCTTGCCCAGGCTGAGATATGTAAGCCTCATATGCATGCTTCAGGACCAAACTGTTTGTATGCCAACCACAGTTGCGTGCTGGAAAGGGAGACTGGAACTCCATGCACTTGTGATTACTTTTTGGGCATTCTCTCAGGCTGACAAACATTTCGGTCGGTAGATCAATATATGATCCAGTCGTTAACAGCATTAAAAGAGAGTCCAGGGGCAGAACGAAGATATTGTTAGCCTCTAGTTCCAGGTCCTTCTCTTTATCCGACAATAGATAAGCAGGATCCTTGGTTTCCCTAGCCGCGTAGCGATCCAAGCGCACTTGTAAGGTGCTCAGGGCCTCCTGGCTTAGTTTCACCTCTGGACAGAGTCTAACCCGGCCCACAATCCGCTCGATCTCAACCTGCTCCATGCTGACGGTCTGAGAATTGAGGCTTTTGCACTGCGACAACTGAGGCAGGCCTGAAAAGGTCACATATGACTCGTTGGGATACCTCTTTAGCAGTTTATTAACGCTCAGTTCGTACCATTTTCTGTAGACCGCAACCAGACTTCTCATGGGCGCGTAGATGATTTCCTTGCGACCCAATTCGTAGTCATGGATGTGTTTCTGAACCCGCTGTTGCTCATTGCAGCGCTTCTTTTCTGTGGCTTGCCACACCACAAAGTCCTCCTCATCAACGGGTTCGCTTCGCTGCCAGGCCAGAAGCACTCGCATACAGGCGGCCTGCTGCTTGAGATTCAACTCCGAGTGCTGATCCAGAGGATTGGGGAAACTGTAGCCGGTACCGCCGCTGGAATTGTCGCAAATCGCACTCCCGGGAACCTGGTCGGTGCGGGGATCCCTCAAGGCTGTGTTGCGGTTAAAGGATTTGAAGACATTGGCGGTTTCTTTGAGCTCCAGCCGCAGCACCTCGGGATCCACTTCATTCAAAAACGTGTACAGCGCGTCGTCCACATGCTCAAAGGATTTGTTGAAGACCTTGTATGAAGGCTGATTCCGAAATATCGAATTTCCCTCATACAAAGGAGGTTCCTTGGCCATATCAGATTCGTTCTTTTGAGAGATTCAAAAACTCTGCTTTATATTGTAAACATAAGATTTGTTTTTATTTAATGCATGCGCGTGACCTTTTCACGCTTCCGGAAAAATACCTGTTTGGGGTATTCAACGAGGTGGTCAAAAGTGGAGTATTGGGCCGCGTCGAGTTTGCATCCATTTATGCGTTGATTCCGCGGACATGGTACTACTATACAAGGTAGTCTCGTCGGCTACCTAATCGTTCCTACTTTTTCTTTCATAAGAAATAAACGTGCTAGAAAGAGGTAGAAAAAGTCGCTTCAGCGGAAAATAGGACAGCACACGGAACTTGCTTCAGTATTTCAGTGTTTTCATTCAGTATTTTTTACGAGCTTAGGAATTTTTGTACTTGGCGTTTTGGGACTTTTTGAGAAGGAAATGCGTTTGAACTGCAAAGGCGCCGTTATAAGGAATTTGTTGTTGGTGCAGAACAAAGGAGAGTTCCAACGGCTCGGAATTTCGAAAACGATCCAATATTAAAAATAATATTGCTATGCTTTTTTAAAGGAAATTTCCATAGTCCAGCTTATATCCTTCTTGGCAAGTCCTAGCAACTGTTGCTCCACAACGTACACTATTTATCTAAAGAAAAAGCTATTTGAAGGCGCATTTACCTCCCAAAGTGGTTCTATATCCATTTTTTGGCTATTCATATTAGAGCATTCATTAGAGGCTCAGAATGCGCTTAATATATGTATATATTTGAACGTTAATTTTAAACTTTATAACTCAAATATCTTTAACTAATTGATTTAAAGGTTCAAAGCTTTTCAAATGATCTTCTAAGTATGTAGGTATAAAATTGTCGGCAATATGTATATAGTGTGTTTTGTCGTTTAATCAGACTCTTATAATACGACTTGAAATTATTTTGGTGCTGAACAAAGCCTTTAAATGTTTTAAGGCAGAAGGAAGCGTTTCCGACCCCATAAAGTAGATGTATTCTTCATCAGGATCAATAGCCGAGTCGATCTAGCCATGTCCATCTGTCCGTCTGTCTGTGCGTATGAACGCTGAGATCTCGGACCAAAATATTCGAAATATTCGAGTGTTAAAACTGCTAGGGCAGAAAAACCAGAGAGTCGACCAAGAGTCAGCGGAAACTGAAAAAAATTCCTTATGTGTCAAAAATACGAATCTTGCCAAAGACTCGATAACAGCAAGACTACTCTACCCTACTCCTTACATCTGGGAAATACTTTTATTTTAATCAAATATATAAATGTAGATTTTAAACATTAAGTTTTTATACGGACCTAAACACATTCCAAAGGTTGGGTTTCCTCTTGCTTTTATTGAAAACTTTTCATACTTCTCATTGCTTGGGTGGTTTTTTTATTTCAATAAAATTAATATATTATGGCATGCTCTTTACGGAACATTAACTTTAAAATTACTATTAATTAATTTGTGACCTCAAAACTATTGTTTGATTAACTTTAGAATCAGTTAGTCAATAACAAAAAAATGAGGGTGGGCCATAGTCTGATTTTAGTTCTAGTTGTTTTCAGCTCCTATGCAAAATCCTTTAATTATACAAACTGTGACCAGGCGAAGCAACCAAAGTTTGTAAGATATTCGAAAATAAAATCTAATTTGTCTACTTTTACATAACATTTTCCAGCTAAGCCCATGTTGCGATGTGCAAAAAAATGACAAGGCTATCAAAGCCTGTCGTAAATCCTTGTTGTCTAGTAACTCAAGCAGTACAAGTAATAAGGAGTCTCCCAATCTTAAATCGGATAAGGTGTCCCTGCACGCAGTGAGTGTTACTCTCAATATCACAAATTTAACCAAATATCAGTGCTTTATTAATCCTTTCAGTGCATTGCAGAGTGCTCCTTTAAGACCAACGGTTTTTTGCTGACCAATGGAAGCATCAACGAGGAGGTATTACAGAAAAGTTACCAGCAACGCTACAAAAACGATCCGATATTGTCACAACTGATGGTGAAGAGCCTCAAAAACTGTTCGGATTATGGTGGGTCAAGTAGAAAAAGAAATACTTTTTAGTAATATATAAACTTAAACAGCACTGAAGCGAGCTCAGCAATCCCAGTGGATGCATACAAAGGGTGAATGCAATTACCATCCTGCCATCTTGCTGGCCTGTATAATGGAACAGGTGTACGTTAACTGTCCAGCTACCAAATGGAAGAACACCAACGATTGTACAGCGATGCGGAAATATTTGATTGCTTGTGACGACGTCGAAAGCAACAGGAAATAATACCAATTTTGAATATAGAAATATAGAGCTGTAGCTTTGCCATGTTCCATTTATTCAGCACACACTTGGAAAGTCAATTTGGCCAGTTCCGCCATTCCGCACTCAATCACATCGCCAGCCTTGAACTCATCCGAGCCATTGGGCGTTCCGGTAAGGATCAGATCGTTGGGTTCCAGGGTCATGTACTTGGACACGTACGAAATGATATCGGGCACCTTGAATATCAAGTCCGCGGTACATCCCTTCTGCTTAACGACTCCGTTGACAGTGAGCCAGAGGGGAAGATTATGCGGATCCTTCACTTGGTCAAGGGGTATAAACTTGGAGACGGGCGTAGAGGTGTCGAAGCCTTTGCCCAAGGTCCACGGATGACCTGCCGCTCGAGCTGCGCCCTGAAATAGTCATTGTTGATAGGTGGACATAAAAAAAAACTTGAATTTCCTTACCAAATTGCACTGAGCCGTCAGATCCAATGCCAGACAGTATCCGGCCACATAATTCATAGCATCTGCCTTGGAGACATTTTTGCAGGGTTTACCGATCACAACGCCCAGTTCCACTTCATAGGCCACCTTGGTGAAGACTTTGGGTAACTGGAAGAAATTTTAAAATGATATAAAAAGGTGCATAGATGATGACTACATATTAATATTATATTATTAAACGTATAGATTGATGAAATTTAAATTGTGGTACTAGAAAAAGTAATATTTTTATAAGAGACTAAAGGTCTACGATTTTTGGTACCTCATTTCTTGACTAGACTTATTTGTAGTTATCATACGAGCGGGAAGATATCTTTTGATAAGGAACAACAGTCTACTTTCATTGCTCAAGATTAAAACCAGATCTTACCACTATTGGCTGACCCTCCTGGAGGTACGATGAGGTGGGTTTAAGGAAGACGAGCGGTTCCTTGGGCACTGGGACGTTCCTGGCCTTCACAACATCCCTGCGGCAGACAAGGATTCGTGGGGGTTACCAATTCAGACGCAACATTACCAGCTAGTACTAAATTACATGTAGTTGAGGGCCACTCCCACAATCTTTTTGCCTTCGTTTAAGAAGTTGGCGGCATTCTGGTCGCGGCAGGCCATCCTGAGGATTCGGGTTAGTTGAACCACTGAAAATTTTGAGGAAATATGTTAACTAATCCGGGGAAACTGGAGGAAATGACTAGAACACAACAGCTCTGCGGTCAAATGAAAGTGAGCGTTTAGGCATTGACAGCCGGACGGGACTTACTTGCGCAATGTTTATTAATTTAGATGTGGGGGTTATCTGGAGAGGCGCCCCCCGCAGAAAGTTTATCAATTAAATAACAACAGAAAATCAAGAGAGCGATCGAGAAATCAGCTGACACTGGGGCGTAGGGTTGCCAAGGCTCGACACATATGCTAGGCAATGCAGTTCGGTAAAGTTCATAATTCTGAGAGTAAAGATAATTAATGACAGTTCATAAATAACCGCCATTACAACAACCTGTTTGAAAAACTAGTGTTTTCACTAGCTGGCGTTAAATGTCGCATAAAAATCCCTACGGTGTTTCCACTGTTGTATGCGTCCAATCTATAGCCAATCAGACTTTATTTTTATATTTATTTCAGAGCGAAAATATAATTTTTTCCACTATTAATATATTTTTATCTGGAAACACTGCTGGAAACAATTTTAACGTAATCTTCTTTTAACTGTACATAGAAAAAAGGTGGTGGAAACGGGTTCAAATCACAGTGAAATCACCATTAAAAATTGTGAGCGACCGGCGATTTGCAACACTACCACCAGTGCGACCGTTCGGCTGCCAATCAGCTATCGATATCGATAGTGCACACTCATCCAGCAGTCCATATTTGGGCGGAAACTAGTAAAAATAAAATTCTCCGTGCGAACAGTCAGTGCAGTGCATTTGCGCGAGCTCAATAAACAAGAAAACAAACCAAGTGCAATCAGCTAGAGGCAGCGAAAACAATAATGACTTGCAAACGAAATCCGCACACTTGGTGAGGGGACTTCGGCGTGTTGAGTTTCCCACTGCGTTCGCCATTTTCACGCATTCCGCCTGCGGTCCTACTAATCGAGTCGAGCAAGAATTGTAATTTTCTTACGAGCTAAAAATTATATGAAATTGCTGGCGAAAAGCGATTTGTAAACCGTGTAACCGAGAAGTCAGCGAAAAGCGCTACGTGGTGCGTGAGTGCGAGTGCGACGGAAAACCGCAGTGAGCAGTGAGAGAAAGAAAGAGTGAGAGAGAGAGAGAAAAGACGAGCCAGCAAACTCTACAAGCACACAAACAACACAATGATGAAAATGGAGACTGACAAAATAATGGACGAAACCAACTCCAATGCACAGGCCGTGAGTTTTAGCTTAGTTAGTTTAAGCGCCATTTCTGCTTCTGCCCGATTTAAGTACATAATACTCGCCGTGTTTCAGGCACATAATGCCCAAGGTGTCGCCTCTATAGACACGACACACACAACAGACAAGCACACACACACACTCGCGCTCGATGTGTGCGTGTACTAGTGCTTTATTTTCGTATATACTACAGATTTTGCACTCGTGCACTCTATTAAATTCGGACACTGTCGCCTATCCTATAGGCTAACCTTAAACTTTTGCGGACTTTAGGCATTAGCCTAATTATTCATCGCCAGCATCATCATCATCATCATCGTTTTGGTTTTCATCATCCCCTTTGTCCAATCATCTGTCTTTATTACCTATATATATATGTACCATATATCCCCCGATTTCCGATTTTTGGTGGTCCAAAAGCAGTTTTCAGATTTCGTTAATTGGCCTCGGGTTTGTTTACACAATTAATAACAAACCCCATACACAAAGTACACTTTGTTGCGGCCGTGTACATTTCAATCAGTACTTATTTTATTGTATGACTATGGTTACGGAGTTAAATGTGATAGGCGGCTTACTGAAGGTCAGTTCCCGCAAAACCATTAAGCAATGTGCCCAAAAAATTGTTTTTTTTTATTTTGTTTCTTAATTTTTTGCTTGCTAAGCAATAAACTTTTGCTTGAGTCATCTGGGTTTATTTTGCTGGAATCAAGGTTGAATCTGGTTAATGATACACATTGCTTCTTGGAAATATCTTTAAAAAACAGTTGAGCTTCCATAACTCCATGATGCTTTCGACGCTAAAACAAGATCATCTTTATAGAACCCACCCTCCCACCATGTAAACCATATCCAGTGCCAACTGTAGCATCCTTCATATTAGCTCAAAGTTACCAGGCAAAGGCAAACAACTAAAGCTCACAAAAACCATAATATGGCAATTAAATTAAGGCAATCGACCCGAATACTTATATACAACATTTACTACAATCGCACATAGTGTTATACGCAAGGTTTTTTTCGCATTGCTGGCATTGCAGTTAACTTAATTACTCAAATCACTCACACTAGTCCGTCCGATTTGTTTACTTTACTCAAATTGTTTGCCGAGATCTTTAGCATTTAATTGATGACGTTTGATTATTTTTGGTCCCATCAATGGGAATGGCTATATTTAGAATGCGCATAATGAGGTTGGGTGGAAGACCAAATAAACATCGATACAATTATATCATTTATAAACTGGCCGTGTGAATGATCTGTTTCCACTGCTGCTAGGCGGGTTTTTCAGAAATCCGCTTTGCAATCTCTTTCGCCGCCAAATAAAAACAAAACGAGAAAATTACGAGAAGAAAGAAACTCGCAGTGGAGTCGAAACTAATTGCCTAATTGTAAGCCCCCAGTTTGGGTCGTCACTTGCCTAAAATAAAGAGAAGTTGCACAACCCGCAGCTACCTACTTTTCCAGTTTTAACGATCGCCCCTTGACATCCAACATAACCAAAGAAGAAATGCAATCTCATAATTAATATGCTTCTCTCTCTCCCATTTCACCCGTACAGTTCACAACCACTATGCTGTACGACCCAGTGCGCAAGAAAGACTCCTCGCCCACCTACCAAACGGAGCGGGAACTCTGTTTTCAGTACTTCACCCAGTGGAGCGAGTCGGGCCAGGTGGACTTCGTGGAGCACCTGCTGTCGCGCATGTGCCACTATCAGCACGGTCAGATCAACGCCTATCTCAAGCCGATGCTCCAGCGGGACTTTATCACATTGCTGCCAAGTGAGTGCCGATATATAGTCTGTTATTGATAGACCTCGAAATGTTACAGGGAATAGCGGTTCTAGGTCTTCAACAGAATATAATTAGATGAAATAATAATATGTACCTTATAAATATAAGAATATGCCTCTTGGGAAATTACTGCTAGAAATCTTATTAGGAACTCTGAGGCACAGACACCTTTTGAGGATTTAGGTTCATAGAAATTTCAATACTTAATGATGTTATCTAAACCACAACTTAAAAAATTTAGTTTATCATAGTCATGGTTCTTTATTTAGAATTTCAACACTTAACTTTAGTTTATCTGTCTTGATAAGGTATAGTTTTTAGATATGGCTACTTTTTAGTTATTGTTTTACTTTAAAACACGACAAAAAAAGCTAAAGGTATATAGACAGTTCAAAGCCTATAAAATAAGTGAGAAGATAAAGAACTAGTCTAAAGAACATTAAACCAGACGCAGATAAATGCGTGAGGATTGTTTTAATTGGGACGCCTTCTTGGAAACATTCAAACAGACTGTTGCTGTTGAGATTTATTGAATATTTAGTTTGATAACAAATCTGTCTCATACCGCGTTTTACCTAGATAGACTAGGACACATTCTATTTAAGTAGACCATTTAATATCTTGCTTACTTAGATTAATTGTGGTAGCGTAATATTACGCTTGCAATAAAGAATTTAGTGCCTAATCCAAAAAGTCTGAAATTTATTGCATACTTATTGTTAGATTGTATCTTGTTCGATAAATATTCGCAAATGAAGTGGTAATTCTCGCTCTATAAGTTATTACATCTTATAAATTTATAATCGGAGATCGGTTTCACACATGGGTTAATTAATTAATTGAAAGCCATAGCCAAATTGCTTTTTATTGTTCAGAAGAGCTTTGACTATCTATTAATACAAACTCTTAAAACCTAGGGAAAATGTTCAGACTTGGCTAACTAATTTATCAACATCTAATCAAGTTAAACATACAATCGTCACTTATAAAAGGGGATTCTGACACACAGGCGTTATCAACACCGCACTTTGTATGGGAGGTCAGTACTCCCAGATGTCCAACAAGCCAACTCACAGACGCTGATAAGAAAGCAAAAGCGGCCGTAAGGCTGGAGATCCCACGGTAGGAAATTCAAAGTATTTTTTATTTCCTGCCAAAATAAAGCCTGAAAATAGCTCACACAGAATCTGAATCTTAGCCAAGTTTACAACGGAATATAGCACACAAGCAGAAGCTAATCCCTCGGCACGCAATGGGTAAAACAATAACAAACGGCAGGTACAGGGGTACAAAGTTGAACAACATGAAAGGTAAACCCCGCTCAGAACCCAGAGCGATTCGTTCCGCGTCCCCCGACTTACAGCCTTCACCCTCCTCCGGATTGTTGCCGGGCATGTTTCCAGCGAGAGGAGCCAGTGGGTGGGCCAGGGGTTTTCGGTTGTTGGCTGTTAACTGTTGGCTGTTGACTGAAAGGTCGTTGCTTCCATTAAACGCGCTTTACCGGAACAAAAACAGAACGAAAGCGGCAGCGCTTGTATATTATTCATAAGAAAATGTGAATCGATTTTGTCATTGATTGTCGTCGGCCAGCAGATGTTAACCAATAACGAAACTATTGGGGAAGTTGTATGTGCGATTCGATATCATATTTATTGACAAACGGGTTTACTATGAGTCGGGTTATGTGAATAAGCGAGCACCTCGCTTATCAATGCATAAATACCCGTGCATATCGATGACTCAAATTGCCCACAAATGCTATGCGTGCAATTCTAGCCCTTGCAAGGGCATTCGTTTACAGAATACTTATATTTATTTTGCTTCCCCATTCGGTTCGTTCACTGGGTTTCAGCAATTCACACTGGGCTCTGATTGCCAGCTGAAATGCCATCAGGTGTATTTACATTATAATTGTCTTCGCGGAGAATGTCGCTTTAATTTGCAAGCCTTTCTTTCCTTGAGCCACCAGTCTGGAATAAGTTCTTTGAGGAAGTTGTCGGATGTTTCCGTTGGCTTAATCCCCGGCAAATGTCCTCCTTGTTCATGCTTCTTATATGATGGTTGTTGGCTATGACTATCTAGCTTTTTACTAGACAGATATGGTCTATCTTAATATAAATAGGGATCTTAAATACTTATTTTATATATTATTAAAAATAGTTTATTGTTGGGACATCTCTTTATTGTGATCTATAACTTGTAATAACCAAAATAAACAATCAATTTAGCTAAGATATGATATGATATGAAAAGGATATTTATTTAATATGACAAAACATCTTACAGAAACAGAAATAAATCGGAAAAAATATGTTATTTGCTTATTTTTATATAAACTATCGAGATATTTTTCAACTTATGTTTCAAAATTGGCGCAATATCTAAAAAAAATCATGAAAATATCATAATACCTTATGACAGGGGCTATTAATTAAATACTTTATTACCTAGGAAAGTACTTTTGAACAACTCGAATAATAGTAAACATTTATTTAATTTCTTTTTAAACTACCTGATAGATCATAGTTGTTTATTTTTCCTCCTTATTCTTTGGCATCACTGGAGTGTTCTAGGAAAGAAAAGAGTTGAAAGTAGGCAACATTGTCTCCTCCATTTACATTGTAATGCACTTCAAAGGCAGCTAACCGGGGGGACAGTCAGGCCGACCGACGGAGCGACCGACGCGTCGGACGGACGGATTCGCAGACGGATAGACACTCTTAGGACCGTTAGTCGCCGGCGACGACGGCAAACAACTTGAGCCAAATCGTTGCCGCCCGCCAAACAGCCTGCCTTTGCGAGTTATGCACATTTTTAATTGTGTTCGGCAGAGAGCAGAAGGCAGAAGGCAGTGGGTACTCGCATGCACTTCAGACTCTGACTTGGCCCATTCAGCCGGGTTGTCAATGCAGATGGAGATGTGTGGCTGTGGATGTGGCTCCCCTCCGCCTGACACATGTAAATATGCCGGTCTATTGGTTGCGCCACCTCCACAGCCACTCCCACTCCCAATCCCGCTTACTGTGGGCTAAGTGCATTTTAATGCCGTTAGGTGCATCATTTTGCCTCTTGTTCCTCGCCCAGTTAAAGTCTGCTGATGCGGTCGGATTGCATTGGATTTAATTGGGTTGGATTGGGTTGGGTTGGGTTGGGTTGAGTAGGTGTCTGGGAAGAGCAGTAGCAGCTACGGTTGCTCCACCTCATATCAGATGGCAAATTGGTCATGTGTCATATCAGAGATAGCTGGGTGCGAACTATAAATAGCTGTTTTAGTCATAAACTTGCTAGGGGAGATGGTTCTTTATAAGAAAGAATTAAAAATGATTTACTTTTTATGAGAACTACACTAATTTAGAAGAAATCTTTTTCTATCGCCCACAGTCAAGGGTCTGGATCACATCGCAGAGAACATTTTGTCGTACTTGGATGCCGAATCGCTCAAATCGGCGGAGTTGGTCTGCAAGGAATGGCTCCGCGTCATCTCCGAGGGCATGCTCTGGAAGAAGCTCATCGAACGCAAGGTGCGCACAGATTCCTTGTGGCGTGGATTAGCCGAACGGCGCAACTGGATGCAGTACCTCTTTAAGCCAAGACCAGGCCAGACACAGCGTCCACACTCATTCCATCGCGAGTTGTTCCCCAAGATAATGAATGTGAGTGGTCTTCGAAGTGTGCTGATTGCAGTCAGTGAACTAATATTACTTTCTATGGTTTCAGGACATTGACAGCATAGAGAATAACTGGCGGACTGGCCGCCACATGCTGCGCCGTATCAATTGCCGGTCCGAGAACTCGAAGGGTGTCTATTGCCTGCAGTACGACGATGGCAAGATTGTCTCCGGACTGAGGGACAACACCATCAAGATCTGGGATCGCACGGATCTGCAGTGCGTCAAGGTGGGTTCCAGACAAAGAGATCCATAGATCAGTTGGAAAATCCAGGATATATCCACGATAGTTATTTTATAACTAGTGCTAACATCTTACTTACTTACTTACAATCCAACAGACCCTAATTGGCCACACTGGATCGGTGCTGTGCCTGCAGTACGACGACAAGGTGATCATCAGTGGCTCCAGCGACTCCACCGTCCGCGTGTGGGACGTCAACACCGGCGAGATGGTCAATACCCTCATCCACCACTGCGAGGCGGTGCTGCACTTGCGCTTTAACAACGGAATGATGGTGACCTGCTCCAAGGATCGCTCGATCGCCGTCTGGGACATGACCTCGCCCAGCGAGATCACGCTACGGCGCGTCCTCGTCGGCCACCGGGCTGCCGTCAATGTGGTGGACTTCGACGAGAAGTACATCGTGTCCGCCAGCGGGGATCGCACCATCAAGGTCTGGTCCACCTCGAGCTGTGAATTCGTGCGCACCTTGAATGGCCACAAGCGTGGCATCGCCTGCCTGCAGTACAGAGATCGCTTGGTGGTTAGCGGCAGCTCAGACAATTCCATAAGGTGAGGCGTGTGAAATAAACCGATTTTCCGGTATAGTGATTAATGATGTGTGATAAAAATTTTTTTTCGGTGAATGTGGCGATTAGTAGTGGCTATTAATTCCGATTGCCATACTCATCACAGCTAATGGCTTTGATATGAAGTTTTTTTCACTATGCCAGTTTTTATCTGGCCATAAAATAAGCAATTAAATGTATATTTCGCTATGCTTTAACCTACAAAAAGTCAGAATTAAAAAAGCTGACTTAAAAAGGCCTAAAAACCTAATCTAAACCACCAATCTACTTTTATGTATTTCAGACTTTGGGACATTGAGTGCGGCGCCTGCTTACGTGTCCTGGAGGGCCACGAGGAACTGGTTCGTTGCATCCGTTTCGATACGAAACGAATCGTCAGCGGCGCCTACGATGGCAAGATCAAGGTCTGGGACCTGGTCGCCGCCCTGGATCCGAGAGCAGCATCCAATACTCTCTGTCTGAACACACTTGTGGTGAGTCATCCTCTACGCCACTTCCGCTTTTGTCTAACCTGTGTGCTGAACCCTTGTAGGAACACACTGGTCGCGTCTTTCGTTTGCAATTCGATGAGTTCCAGATTGTGAGCAGCTCGCACGATGATACAATTTTGATTTGGGACTTTCTAAATTTCACACCCAATGAGAACAAGACCGGACGCACACCGTCACGTAAGAGAAGCCAACTTTCACCTCATTGATCTCTGAATTATGCATAACGGTTTCGTTTTGTTTTCTGTTGTTGCTGTTCTGTTGCTGCTGGCGCTATAGCGGCCCTGATGGAACATTAACATTTTATGCAACGGCAGCTGCGGGAGTTACATCTACAATCCTCGAGCGAAGACGAGGACGACGATGAGGACGAGGACGATGGCGAGGATTTCGATGAGGATTCTAGAGATGATGCTGGGGCGTTTATGGGGGGATATGTTAGGCATCGGGATGCTGGTGGTTCTGTCTCCGTCACCGGTTCCGGCTCGGATCCAGAATCGGATGACCCGGACTTTGAAATAGATGTTGAGAATATTAATGATTATGATGAATGAAGAGTGAATGGTTATTGGCCAGCATAAGCAAACAGCATTGCGACTTGTCTATTTCGAAACTATGTTGAACCCAAGATATAGCGATCTCTAAGCGTCTATTTTACAATCGCACACAACACCACACACAAACAATACACCCACACACACATCCACACGGAACACACACACATGATATGAATTAATTGAAGTTATAAAGCAAGCAAACAATAAATGCAAAAGGAGTATACAAAATATATAAATATTTTCGCAAAACTGGCTGTTAGGTTTGTCATGTACGAATGAAAATGAAACAAAAACGGAAGAAGCAAAACTATGTATTAGTTATTTAGGCGCTGTAATACTAATCGAGGGTCAGTCTTTGAATCGCGCTTCGAATCGGTTGATCGATCGATCGATCGGGCGTTACTTTAAGTGTTTCTTTAGCTCAAATACACAAGCATCGCGTTCAGGCAGCTGCCGCTTTAAGGAAGAGGAGAACTGTGAAATATGACTTCGAACTTTTTCGCAGGAGGGATCTGGTGAGCGGCCAGAGGAATCAGTCTTTAGCATAAATGTTAGTTAGAGTCGCTTCATTGAAATTGGCAAACGCACCATTTCGGTTCGCCGCATTGCATATTTGTAACCTACTTTACATGCCTATTGCCTAATGTTTGTGTTAATTGTAAAGTTAAATTTAAGCCTAGTATTTTATTGGCAATTGTAATCTAAGTTACGCAAAATACAAATAATTTAAATTAAAAGTTAATTGTGTAAAGTAAAGGACGACACGCGCCGTGTCCGCAATTGGTAGTTATGTATCTTTCGAGTGAAGATCAAATGAAAATTAATCCATTGTACTGCAATATATAACCGATTCTTTGATTGATCTATGATAACTCTAGATTCTAGATATACAGATGTATGTAGAAAATAGCAAATTTCCAGGCAGTTTCAACAATATATTTACATGTATACAGTTCGTTGATTGTGATCAATGGATATTTTACTATATGTATTGCTATTTGTAAGTTAAGTTCCAATGCTATACTTGATCTGGATCACGATCGCCGCTTCCGCGTTAACTAATGTATGTACATAACGTTTTACTTTAACAAAAAGTTGATGATGATATGAACACATACCCCGGAATATGTAATACTGTTAGTGGAAAGAGTGCAGCTTGTTAAACGATGGCCGAGCAACTGCTATTGCGCGAATGGGCTTAGTATAGGTAACATAACTAGAAGTAATAAATAATAAATTGTGTATAAATGCTAAATAGTGGTTTTTCTTTAATTCTCCTATATACCTCACCCTAAAAGGTTGGATTCTCCTGATAAAACATTAACTTCAGATTTTTACTTATTGCTCATTTGCTAGATAATAAACATATTGAAAAATATTTAATTTGCCTTATAATTTTTTGCGAAGTGATCATACTTTTATATTTATCACGCATATTTACTAAAAACTTAACACACGTTATAGACCACCAAAAGTAATTGGTTATTAAATAATTCTGCATTAACTGCGAGCTGAGGATTTAACAACAACTCTATATTTATTGGTAACTTACTCAAAATTGGTGCCAGATGGTGGCATTTACATAAATAGTATTTTTTGTTAGGTAGACTATCCTCTCGCCAGTGACCAAAAACAATCAATTTTCGTAATTTATTTTTTATTATTCCGAAAGACTTTTCAGACAATTGTTTTAATACATATTTAACAAGTAAATACGTTTTTATAAATTAAAAAAAATAGAAACTTTTCCAGTGGACATCACAAGTGGCGACAGGACCACCGGCAAATTTCAAGCCATTTTTGTCTGCAAGTTTATGTATTTCAAAATCTAACGCTTGATCGAAAAATTAAAATTTTTTTCTAAATCGTGGCTTTAAGAAAAAAGCGGTTGAAAAACGTTAATAAAGTATAAAATAAAAAGAATTCAAATCAATGTTATTTAAATTGCGCGCCCCACCATTTGATATAAAATAGTGGGAATAAGCTATTTCTCAGTTGAATTTTTGGCTATAGGCACATATTTTGTGGGGGCTTTTAGGCGCCACCTGGTAACACCTTCAAAACCCAAAACAATTTTTAGCCAAATTCCTTGAGATTCCTTTCTTTTGTTGCATATCTCTCAAAATGGACTGGTATGTGGGCACGGAGTGGGAGGACAAGAGCCGCGGGCTGACCAAGAAGGTACTTGCCCTCCAGTTCACCAAAATGGAGAAGCCCACGACAGTTAGCACGGTGGAATTCAGTGTGAACAAGAAGACCGCCAATTTGGGAGAAAGACCCAGCAAGTACTTGGCCAGCGATGAGTCCTCGACATATCCCCAACAGCACATCCTGGAAATGGGAACCAGCCTGACCGCAGTGGACTGCTACTTAGAGCTGCTGCTGCAGCAATTTGTACTCGGCGAAACGGCAGCCTGCATCATCACGAGCAAAACCGGCGAACGGATCGAATTTGAGCTGAAGCTGGAGAAGATCGTGAAGAACACGCAGGTGGAGAAGCTGGACGCGGCCCAGGTCTATGAGGTGGCCCTGCGCCTTAAGGAGAGCGGCGTGGCCACCTTCAAAACCTTCCCGAAATTCGCATTTGATTACTTTGTGCGGGCCGCCAAATTGCTCATCACCTACAAACCCTTCGACCAGCTGACAAAAAAGGAGAACGGCATCGATGGTCAGACGGTGGAGACGCTCTTCATCCAGATACAGACCAACTTGGCGGCCTGTCTGCTGCAGGAAAAGCGCTACGAGCATGTGATCTACCATACACAGTTTGTGGAGACAGAGGAGAGTCCCAGCGAGAAGAGCATTTACCGGCGCGCGCTGGCTTACTATCACCTGAAGGAGTTTGCCAAGGCGCAGGCCACCATCGAACGGATGCCCAACTACGAGGAGAAGCGAGAGTTCAGTAAGCTGCGCGACAACATCGCCGCCAGCTGGAAGGATAGCAACGCCCACTACAAGGAGGTGGTGCAGCGCATGTTCAGCTAGTTCCCATTGATAACAACTCGATGTCAGGCTAACCAACGGTCTTTATAAAATAGCTTATGTTTAATGTACTACTTTGATTTCCTACTCTTTTTGTGGTCAAACTTGGCGCGCTTGTTCTTGGGATCGAACTTGGCTCTCCTGTTCTTGGGGTCGAACTTGTCCTTCTTGTTTTTATGGTCAAACTTGTCCTTCCGGTCCTTACGGTCGAACTTGTCCTTGCGATCGCTCTTGTCCTTCTGGTCCTTAGGATCCAGCTTGGCACGCTTGTTCTTGTACTTCATTCCACCGCTCAGGTTAGGCCGCTTGCGAGAGGATCTTGCTTCCATTTTGAAGAGTTCTGCAAAGGGAACAATCAGTTGTTGATCTGACGTTTGAAGAATCTGCCAACTCACCTTCATCTGGTTCCTCGCCGACTTCCTCCTTGTAGTACTCCGCATCGTCCTCGGGATCGCTGTCATTGCGTCCCTCCGCCGCCCTTTTGGCAGCCCACTTTTCGTCCTTCTTAAGCTTCAAGTTGCGTGCTCGATTCTCGGCCTGCTCCTTCTTGCGTTGCTCCTTCTGCTTTCGCTTCTTCTCGACCAGCTTGCGCATGGTTTCTTTTTCGTCCTCAGTCTTTACCACATGGTCGTGATACAGAACTTCGCCGGTCAGGAGGCCTTCCTCTATTTTGATGAGCTGCATGGTTAGACGAGGTCCGATCTCGTGCAGCTTGATGGAGCTCTTGTTGTCCTCCAGGTTGCCCTTGCTCTTGAGCGTTTGTGCCAGGACCACGTGCGACTGCTCGTCATCCTCGGCCTCTGATTCGGAGGCGTAGCCATCTCTGGAAAAGATTAAGATAAATAAATAGATGCAATAGGAACAGAGAGGTTTCTACTTACTTGGTCACGAAGTCCACCACTTCATTGCACTTGCCCAGATTGGGCACAGTGCCCTTGACGATCTTCTGGACCGCTCGCTTCAAGCCCACGGGCACCACCTGCACGGAGTAGTGTCGCATCTCGACCAGCTTCGTATCCGGATTGTAGGAGAACAGGACGCAGCGACGGATGGTGCCTATGTTGACCTGGGCCAGGTTGATGGAGGGAAACATATTTTGGAAAGTGGTGGCCATCAGCTTTAGGTGCTTGCCATCCCCACTGAAGTTGTTCATGATGACCAAGGGGGCGTGCTTGAAGTGATCGTTGTCGATCATTTGCTTTTTGGCTAGCGAGATGACATCCCTGGCCAGGGTGAACTGGTGGACCTGTGAAGGGATGAGTCCAATAAAAACCACGCTGCTAGCTAGACTAACCAGCCAAACAAACCTTGAAAGTCAGGGAGGGACCGCGCGGCAGGCGGACCACTTTGAAGGACAGCTGTGTGGAGGCCTTGTTGAAGATTCCCATGTGGGAGACGTGGAAGAAGCTGCTCAGGCTGACAAAGTCCTTGATGCGGTTCATCCGCTTTTCGCGCAGATTGCTGGCCGTGAAGGGCTCCATGATGCGGCGGAAGTCCAGGGTGAGGTCCGTGATGTACGGGCAGGTGAGGCCGCGGTGGATGACGAAGGAGTGCGGCGCCTCCACGATCTCGCTCGGCTCGCTGGCCTTGAAGGCCGCCGTCCGCGTCTTTGGATGCACTTTCTTTTTGCCGCCCATGTTTTGATGTTTTTGTCCAGTTTTCCGTCGTCGCACGTGTTGAAACAATAAGGCTGCACTGGCGGAAAATACCAAGTCACAAATACCATCCTCCTCTGGTCACTCTAATTCCATTTAAATTCTGGTTTCCCTCCCATTAAATCGATCTTAACTTCCTTTTATTTAAATTATATTTATTTAATCACACTTAACATAGCAAACACAAATGATGTTATTTCGTTTCATTTATGCATTTAAAGTTTTACAACTGTTCTTGTTTGATTTATCTTTATCAGCTAGTTTTAGACAATTTGTTTGCTTTTACCAAGTGGCCAATTGTTGAAAATGTAGTAGTGAAAACTAAAAAAGTCCGCGCTGCAGTGTTGTGGAAATGAATTTTTGCATCATAATCGAAGATTTCCGGTTGTTTGTTGTTGCTTTTCTCGAGAAATTACAACTATATATTTATGTTGCGAAAAATTAATAATATTAATATTTTTAATATTAGCATATATGTATATTTATATAAATTATAGTTCTACAGCTTAAACTGAATTTGGAGTGTTTAGTTTTGCTTGCTTTCTTTCCACGGCGATCGGATCGATTTATGCGATATTCTTTAGATCTTTATATATAAAACTTCAGTTTAAGCCGCAGTTAACTACAGCCGGATGTTGTTTTCGATTCTGTTGCTGCTGCTGCTGCTGCTGGTGGTGTTGATTTCATTTGATTTATCAATTTATGCACATATGACAAACTGCAAGTGGCTGTGATTGAGAAACACAAAAACATCCTATGCGTTCCATCAGATATCCGCTGCTTCTGATCTTCAAGATATAGTTGTTGTTGCTGCTGCTGCTGTTGTTGTTGTAGTTGTAGTTGTAATTGTTGTTGCTTCTGTTTATGTTGCTGTTCTGGCGGTTGCGGGGAATAGCGAAAGTTGCTTGGGGCGGTCACTGACAGCACTGCTTGCGCACATCGGCGGTAACAGTCGGCTTCACGTCGATGGGCTCCACGTTCGACGGGCGAATGACATCGCCTTCCGGCGGATCTCTGATCTGTTTCTGCGACACAATGCGATAGATCTCTGAAAAGCGAAGAAATGGATAAGTCGATGTTCATTTGCATGCCTCTTTTAAATTCGCTTAAAAAGAGTACTTATTAGAACTATTTTTGTAGTTGGAACCATATACCTTATATACAAACGTTAATAGTAATTTTCTATAGCATTCTTCTTTATGATGACTTCATCTATTTAGTTTTAAATTTGTAAGTACTTTGATAAAGATTAATTTCTAAATTACATTGAAGATGTTAAACAGTTTTGTCTATTCTACTTAATTTGCAATAAGAAATTATTTTACTATGAATAGTTATATTAGTAACACTTCGGTTAGTAATATTTTTCAGAACATACTGAAGTCTCTTTTGTTAAAATATTTTGAGTGAGTGTTATTATATTTTTAACGAGAAATGTCTAGGGTGTACGCAATTTGAATTACCAAAATTTCTTTAAATATAAATCTTTGTAAAATCATTGTATATTGTAGGAAATATAACTATGTGAATGAATACAATCATTTAGAATTTATTAAGAATGAGTACAATACTCTCAAAATCATCAAGCCGAAGTGTTGAATAATTGTAGTAAAATGGAAACAGCTATATTTTCAACTTGATCTGCGTTCGATACAATTGTTAGTCTTTCACTAATGATCGAGGGATGTATAATATCTACATTCAAATATTTATAAGACTATTTGGAAAGCTTCATATCGAATGCTTTTACAGAAGAGGACTGACAAGTATTGATCGATACACATGTGGTTCTGGTCAAAAATAATCGAAAATGTCACATTAAGGCACGTTTACTCTTCCACATATCAAACTATTATAAATACCCTACTAAATAATAGTTAGGATCAATATATCAATCACCTGTGAGTATGTTCTGGAATGCCGTTTCAACGTTCGTCGAGTCGAGGGCCGAGGTTTCTATGAAACTCAAGCCGTTGCGCTCGGCAAACAGCTTCGCCTCGTCCGTGGGCACGGAGCGCAAGTGCCGCAAGTCGGACTTGTTGCCCACCAGCATGATGACGATGTTCTGGTCGGCGTGGTCGCGCAGCTCCCGCAGCCACCGCTCCACGTTCTCGTAGGTCAGATGCTTGGCAATGTCATAGACGAGCAGGGCTCCCACAGCACCGCGGTAGTAGGCAGAGGTGATGGCGCGGTAACGCTCCTGGCCGGCCGTATCCCAGATTTGCGCTTTAATTGTTTTTCCATCGACCTGCGTGGGTTGGGCAAAGGGGGCGAAACAAAGGAATGGCATTAGAATAGCGACGGTAATTGGCAATTTCTCCAACTTATCCTTGCGGCGGTTTCGCTTTAAAAATCGATATACAAACTGGGCATAGTGGTATAAAAATATAGGTACATAGTTTATGGGATATTTGGGTACCCAAGCCTTAAATCAACTTTAATACTAACTATCCAACATTATCTAAAACTGTTTGATTGGATTTTGAAGTAAAATTATAACTGAACGCGAAGATCCAAGACTATATGGTTTTGTAGAAAACAAGAAAGGAAAGTTTAATGACTATTAAAAAGATTGTAAGGTTATAATCACTTTTATTAAATTATTTACATTTTAATGATTTTCATTTTTATGACTTGCTTTTTTTTTAGTGACAGCTTATTTGTTATCGTTGTTAATAAACAATCTTAGCTCAAGTGGCAACTGTGATGTCAACATTTAACTTATCCCCACAGGATTGCTTCATACATTATGCAAGAAAGCCAATTGGCAATCCTTTATTTAGTGAAATTCTCAGACACTTACTGAAATTGAACGAAAGTTTTACCCCTCAGTTTCGGCAGAAGCCTCAACTACGTGTCTTCTCCAGCGAAACGCTCACGCAAGTTCACCCGTGACCCACTCAGTGGGTGGTGCTGGTGGTTTGGAGGAGGTGTTCCTTTGCCCACTCCACCCCCTACACTTCCCCCTCGTACTCACCTCTATGCTGCGTGTTGCAAACTCAACGCCAATCGTCGACTTGGACTCCAAATTGAATTCATTGCGCGTGAAACGTGAGAGCAAATTACTTTTACCAACACCGGAGTCACCGATAAGGACAACTGCAAAGGATTAGAGAGCATTAGTGATAGTGACGCTGGCTACATCGACATTGGCATTGGATAATCGAAGACCCCGAGTTGCATAATATATGTGTGTGTGGGATGTGGTTTTGTGGTGTGGTGCGGCCCGTGTCTTGTGTTTTACGGCCGGACAGGATGGTGGCTTGTGGCCCGGCCAGGTCATGTCCTCCTTTCGCCTGATGGCACTGCGCCCCAAGGTCAGCGAGTACATAAAACCGCCATGCTCGGGGGATTTCAGTCCATGGAAACAAATGTTTTATGATTGTGGGAGCTGACGCTCGGGAGTTCGTGTTATTGGACTTCATTGCCGATAGCAAACATTTCTTGTATAATTGAGTGGGGGATGTTTGGGCAAGCAAACAAGCTGTCTCAGAAGATAAGTAGTATCCACTAACTTTTTATATGACTAGGGTTCCGAAAGTGTATGAAACACAGATATGTAAGAGGATAAACAGTATCCACTAAAATGTTATATGACCAGGGTTTCAAAAATGCATGAAACATACATATGTATGATTTGTCTGTTTTTAAAATTATTTCGGATGTTTTTATAAGAAAATCAAAAAAGAGTGTGTCATATATTTATGTTTGTTTTTACAATAAATAAAAATAACTAGTTAAAGTAGAAGATAAAATACAAAATTTTATAAGCTTTTATCTGTGTATTAAAAAATATATATGATAGCAATCTCTCCCTTATCTATAGCTTTTGCCAGAATATCTAGTTTACATTAGCCGATATCTACTATATTTACAGCGCACACAAGTCGGATAGTTTTCATTTTTGACACCCTTTTCGGACATTGTTGATTCAGCGTGTTTGCCCATCCATTGAGAAAACAATAACAAAAACTCATCAAACACCTTTTTGCTTTATCACTCTCTCCCTAGATGCACGGAAAACAATAAGGTCAACAAACATATATGAAAGCAAAAGATAGCAATTTTAAAAACTTGCAATCTGACAACAAAAGATCGGGTTCGAACCTCAGTGCTGGCCTATGGATTTATATATTTTTACAGTTTATTAAATTATATATTGATTGTTAGTATTAGATTTAAATGCCTCTAGCTTGGATATTATATTTTGGACATCCAAATTAAATATACAGGCAATCAAGTAAAAACCTATAAATAATCATAACTATTCACACTTTTCTCTCCGTGTGGACAGCTGAGAGCAGCCTGGTTACAGTTATCAGCGAGAGCGCTGAGTCATTAGGCCTCCTACTCTCTTTCTCTCCGTTTCTAACGATCTTCAAAGAGAAATTACGCTTAGTTAAGCGGATGTGAAATTAAAAGGGGAGTAATCGGCGGACATTACTTACTAGTGGGAATGGATCGAATAGGCCGAATATAGCCCACTTTGGTTATGTGATTATGTGCTTATCGCCGAGTGGAATTCTTTAACAGTTATTGGCAGTGAGTCACAGCTGGTTAATATCGTTTTATGTGTGAAATTTGAAGCCTCATCATGCATATCGCCCATTGACGCATTCGTCTGCCCTGTTTTTGTACTTTTTTGAATGCTTGACCCAAAAACGACTCAGATAAGGGTTTAAATATTTGTCAAAAGATGTGGCAGTACTCTTTCCATTAACGACATTCAACAGTTGCTCAGCTGTGATAGCAGATTTCTCAAGCGCAATTGGAATTTATGGCGTAGTAGCAAACGAAGAGAACAAAGGAGAACTGAGAATGGATGACCCTCGAGCATAAACAATCGTAAACGGGGAAAGATGTGGGAAAGGGAATATGTTTTTACGTGAAAGTACAAGACTTTGCTCCACTGTGCTCCAAACTTTCAACTGAGAGAGGGAGAGCGAAAGAGAGCACCGCTGTACTAAAAGAAGTTGCAAAAATCAAAATGCAAAAGCCAGCTGTACAGAAATCATAATACCCACACTCTTTCGCTGTAATTACTGGAAATCTAATCAATTTATGAATTTAAGTGGGTGTCTAAGCATAAAAACAACATTTTAAGCGATTATTAACACGATTTGCCTTTGCTTTTGTATGCAACGTGGCGAGAGCAACGGTATCGCAATGACAAAACAGACAGTTAACGGCAAAGTACGCGTACTTCAATCCGGAAGAGAAGCGAGCTCCAAGAACAGAGAGAGAGAGAGCGAGGGAGAGAGCCACCAAAGGGCATCCAACTGCAGCAAACAACAACAACAACAGACTCGGGGGGCGTACTTCTTGGACTTATTTTGGGAATTAATCATACACACACAAGCGCACCACATACCATCACATGAACTTTGGGCTCTTTGAGTGCACTTTTTGTTATTCTCCAATTAGTTTCAATTAGTGCCATTGAACCACTGCGTCACGGGAGAGGAGAGGAGAGCGAGCGAGGAGAGAGCCGAGCCTGGAAACGCTGCTGCTCCTCCTCCACCTCCTTCCACGATCTGTGGCCACCGGCTAGTATCATGTTTGTAATTACCTTTGAACAGATAATCGTACTCGTCTTCTCTTGCACCCATTTTCTCCAATTTGTTTTGCTATCGCTCGATTCGACGATATCCTTGGCTAATCCAGTTCCGTCCTTTTTGTTTCGTGTGCGGGTGCTAAACGAAATCCAATAATCCCTGCGCCGCCGATTTCTTTAATGCGTTTGTCGTAGGCTCACACACTTTACACTTTTATTTGCAGTTGTAGTTGTAAAGAAAAAGAAAAGTGTATATATCAGTATTTTGGGTGGTCAAATCCGCTGCGCTTGCAGCTCGACTGCGTTCGGAACGGCTGGCAGAACGTGTCCGGCAACTGGGGCAGTATTAATTTGACATTTCCAGATGCCTTCAGCGCATTTATTTGCAATTTTCTCTTACACGAAACTTAGTCACTCCCAATCACGTCACGTTATATTTTCCAACGAGACGCTAGCAGTGTGACCGCGCAATTATCGATACCGTGCGGTTTGTCGGAATATACCAGATATAATCGCTGACATAGCGGAGACACAATCCTGACATGTCAGCGTGACCGTTGGCCAGCGAGTACACCCTCCTGACGTAGCGGATACACACTCCCGACATGGCAATTGAAAAGTGCGTTTTTTAAACAAAATTAATTAATCAAGTATGGGGCTCTTATAAATTAATTTATAACTCGTATAGGACATTTTTGTTAACACGAGAGAAATAAGATGATTATTTTTTACCCATATTTTTAAAGTTTAAATTCAATGAAATATTGAACAACAAAAACAAAATTTGGAAAAAAGAAAGTATGGATGTTTAAATAAAATCGTATTTTTAAATTCGTAATTGATATCTTGAACCCCTGTTTTGCCAGTCTAAGGTTTTTTTTAAAGTACAATGCATACGATGCTCCCTGCAGCTTACAAGTTTAAATAAATTACAAATATGTTTATAAAACAGAGTATAAAAGTGTTTATTTTAATATAAAATACTTGTTGTATAAAAACAATAAATTAAGTATAATGTGCAGCTAATACTTGCGTTGATCTCTAGAGTGATTAATAAACTTTGTTCTTATTGCACTTAAATGCGAGCGCGTTGCAAGGCGAAGGCTGGATAGATGAGCAGGAGTCCGCCGGCAATGTAGGTGATCCTTGAGCCCACGCACCAGAAAGCTGAAAGAATTCATGATATCAGAAGGGATAGGATCGTAGGAAAAGAGCCTCTGCTTACCAATGCAGCCCACCACGGGACCCAGGGCACGAGCCAGAGCTCCCAGTGAGCGGAATATACCCAGTACTGAACCCTTCTGGTCATCGTTTCCATACTTGGATACCAGCGTGGTTAGGCAGGTGACGGCGAAGGCGGTAGAGATTGCGAATAGGGTCATGCCGGCGTAGAGCATTCTACTGCCCTCGGCCAGGCCGACTAATACAAAGGCAGGTACAATCAGATAGAGACTAAAGATGGCATAGCTTTTGATCTTCGCCTCGGGCAAGCGGCGGACAACCGATCCCTGCAGCAATGTCATTATAACACCTGCAAAGTATCACAACACTTTAGTTAAGAACACAGAATACTATACTATTTCCATACCTGTTGTTAAAAACATCTTGGCCTGGTCCATGGAAGTGTAGCCAAATTTGTGGTACATCAGAAATGTTACGGTGAACTCCAAGCCGGAGTACAGAAAGAGGTACAAGAAGTATATCAGGCCTACGGATCGCAGAGCCTCAATGTCTTTCCTGGGAACATTTTTGATGGCAGCAAATCTGGTAATACAAGAATTATGTCGAAACCAGATTGGTCAATTTAGGCATAATCGGAGATAACTAGACACCCTTCCCTGTAACTACTTTTAATCAAAAGCATTACCAGCGTTTCCCAACTGATAAGACTATCAAACAAACGTGTCTGAGTACCCGGCACGATAATTGTGTCCGTCAAACCAGTCAGGCAAGTCCGGGTAGCTTGCAGTTCCAAGCGAGTGACGATTTCAGTTTGATCACACGACTGGTTTTCGCGATATGCTAATTAAAACAATGAATTACCTAAATATGGCCGAGAAGTTGAGCAATTGCAGGCCGTATGACAGTGCAGATGAGATCTCCTTAACACGTTTCTCCTGTGAAAATGTCAAACAATGAATTATGGGTTACTATGGGATAATTACTTTGAACAAACCCACCTTGGGCAAGGTCTCACGCAGGCAGCAAGCCAGAACCAGAAGATCTCCGATTGCCAGGCCAAAAGCCAGCAGAGAGGGCAGCACAAACCAGGCGCCGCCACTTTTATCCGAGAATATGGCAAACAGGGCTCCAATCATGGGTCCCACGATGAAGCCCAGCGAGAAGGCCACGCCCACCAGGGCCATGCCCCGTCCACGAGTCTTCACACTGGACACATCCGTGATCACGGACATGCACAGCGATATGTTGCCCTTGCTGATGCCGCCCACAAAGCGGGCCAAAACGAACAGGGCAAAGTTGCTGGAGCAGGCCCAGATCAGATAGGATAGCGCAATGCCAGACTGGGGATAGGATAAGAGAAGTATATTAGAAGCTTTTACAAAAAAAGGGTAGTAAAATTCAGATATGTTTCTAATGGAAAGGGTTAAATTCAAGTTGTAATACAAAGTTCTCTTGAATGGGGTTTTATAAGATAGACATAGTTTTTAAAGAATTTATACTTTGTTTTGGTTCGGATAATACATACAATTTTGAAGTATTTATACTTTGTTTTGGTTCGGATAAGACATAAAGTTTGGAACTATTTATGTTTTAGTTTTAGTTCCGATAAGACATGGAATTTAAATATATTTTTACTCTTTTTTGGTTCTGATAAAACATACAATATAGAAGTATACATATATATGGTTTTGGCTCGGATAAGACCTACAATTTTAAACATTTATATTTTTTTTGGTGCTGATTAAACCACAACAACTGTAGATAAGTAAGAATATAATTATAGAGTAGTGTAAACATCTATGTAAATTTAATTAGGTATTGTAAATCATTGCAGCTTTTTTTGAAAACTGACATAAATTAAAACACATATTCAGATGAAACCAATAAGAACTAAGATTACTCACCGCACAGACCAGCAGGACAGGCTTCCGGCCATAGTAATCCGAGAGTCCTCCGACAATCGGACTGGCCACGAACTGCAGGAAGCTGAACATGGAACCGAGGAAGCCTCCGAATAGCACCGATATGTAGCGCTCCGGTGCGCCCAGGAGCTGCTGGAACCAACGCACCCGATCCGTGAGCACGGCATACAGCCCGGAACTATCATTCTGGCGATAATACTCCAGTAGCGACGGCAGCAGTGGAAGAATAATGGTGAAGGCCAGCAAGTCGAAGAGTAACGATACGAAAATGATGTATATCATGGGGTCGCTCTTCTCCGCGTTTTCTTTCTTTGATGATTCCTTTTCCGGCTTGTTATTGTTGTGGTTGCTGCTGTTAGTTTCCTTTTCCACTTCGAGGCTTCCATTGTGGCGACTCCGTAGGGCGGCCATTGTGTCGGATTTTGGGTGTTAACTTCTGCCGTGATTGCGTGCGTGTACGGGTCTTACTAAAACATAACTGTAGCAACGCGACTTCAACTCCCCCGACAGCTTTTGGCCCTCTCAAGATGCGAATGGCTCCAAAAACCGCCAGCCAAAGTGAAAGTTGAAAAAGCAACAGCTGATAGCAGGGGGCCTGCAACGATCAGACATGCATTACAACCTGTTGCTTGAACGTGCATGGGGGTGTAATTATTTGAAAATAGGCGCCAAATTGATATACACAATTTTCCTTACAAACTAATGGGGTTTATCTAAATTTGATTTATTTATTGTTATAATCGCTTTGTGGGTCTATTACAAAGCTTGAACTCGCTATAATTAAAATTCGTCTAATGTTGCATTAATTATTTAAAAATTAATTGAAATAAAATTCGTTACTAGCGACTATAAAAATGGATGTAGTTACGTTAAACATATGCTGCTTTAATAAACTTTTCAAAAAAGGTTGTAGCAAATCGTTTGTAAAAAAAGGACTAGTGTCATAAATCAAAGATAATATTGTTAAATAGAAATATTATGTTATGTGAGCACGCATTTTTTGCAGCCGATTCAATGTCAAGTTCCATTTAAAAAATATTCTAAAATTTCGTAAAATTTTAGTAAAGTTCTCATGAATATCAACAGGTTTTTATGAAACATGTTTTCGCTATCACTGCAGTGTTTATTATTTTGCTCTGAAGAAAAAAGTAATAGTAAAAGAATAAAATGTTCCCTTAAATATGAGTATAATTTGTATAATTATTAAAATTTTACAGAATACGGTGTGGAAAAGTTTAACCTTAACCATAAAGAAAAATTTTAAACTGAAATTAGCCGCGTAGTTATCGATAATAAGACTAGTATCGAAACAACAACCCCGATAGAGTTCCGCAAATATTCGATATATTGCATATCGCTCGGCAAAAAATATTTGTTGATTAAACTTCTGCAAAAATTCCTATAAAAGCAGGCAAAAAGAGGGTCTTAAGATGTCCAAGGTGACCGTGCAAGACATAGAGGCGGTGGATGACTACTGGGGACCCACATTCCGTTCGATTCTAGAGGGTAACTGGCGATACAAGCACTTTTCTCAACTTTGTTTACGCCCATTCCATTGAAATTTTTCCCCTCAGGAAACAACACCAAGCAGATTGGCGACCAGCTGGAGCAGCGGATTCGCAGTCATGACAAGGAGATCGAGCGGATATGCAATCTGTACTACCAGGGCTTTATCGATTCCATCCAGGAGCTGCTGCAGGTGCGGACGCAGGCCCAGCAACTGCACAAAGAGGTGCACTCGCTGGACACCTCCCTTCGCCAGATCAGCGCCTCCCTCATCCAGCAGGGCAATGATCTGGTGCGGGCCCGACAAATCGAGTCCAACCTGGCCAGCGCCATTGAGGCCCTCAAGTCCTGCCTGCCCGCACTGGAGTGCTACATGAAGTTCACGCAGCAGGCCAAGAATAAGCAGTACTACCAGGCGCTGAGAACTCTGGAGACCCTGGAGGCGGAACACTTAACGCGCTTGAAGGCGCACAACTACCGCTTCGCCACCCAAATGCAGATACAGATACCCATCATCAAGGAGAACATTCGTCGATCCTCCGCCTTGGATTTCCGGGAGTTCCTGGAGAACATCCGGAAGTTCTCTCCGCGCATCGGTGAGCTGGCCATCACGCACACCAAGCAGCTCCAGAAGCGAGACATCAACGCCATCATCGCCGAGCACATGCAGCAGGTGAACGGAGGTGGAGCGAGCGGAGCTGGCGCTGGCGGGGATGATGATGGTGCCAACGTTAGTGCCCAGGACCTCATCGACTTCTCGCCCATCTACCGCTGCCTGCACATCTACATGGTGCTTGGGCAGCGCGAGTACTTCGAAAAAGATTACCGCCAGCAGCGTAGGGATCAGGCCAAACTGGTGCTCCAACCGCCGCCCAACATGCATGATAACTTGGAGGCATACAAGAC